GTATGAAAAAAATACAGTATTGTCAACATACTGCCGAGAAAAGCTGTTGCAGTTGTTTGCTTTGATAAATTAACTTTTCATTATTTAGCCAGATTTTAATCAGAGGATTCTGAAGAGCTTGTACTGATCGTCCATACGAATCAAAGCATTCCATAGATGCAGGATCAGGTTGGTAGAAAGCAAGCCAGTGCTCCCCGGGTCCAGTTGACTCATCGGTGTTGACTATGAAAGCAGACGGCGTAGGGAAACTACCCCGCTATGGCAATTCGTTGCAGGCATACACTCCGCGAAAAACGCTTCGAGTCGCTGTGTTTTCCGTTAGTAGTTGAGTAATCGTCTGACTGTCCATCTTAATTTGTAAAATCGCAGATTAGTTGTCCGAAATTGTTGATTTCGATGACAGCATCAAATGTTAAAAATGTAACCATAATGATGGGCTTATTCAGCGGTTCACTAAACACAACACGGATATAGAAGTTCATATCTCCTCCGGCGGGTAAATTCTCCGGAATAGCAGCCGTCGGGCCGATCCTCTCTTCTTCTGTGCGAAAACGTTCAGCAAAAGAGTGCGGTGTAGCGAAGATGTGGACTCGGCAGCGATTGCCGGCTCCGAGCCTTCGATGATTGATGCCATGTTTTTTCTTAAATGAAATCTGGCAAATTGTAAGGAGGCACACGGTTTAATTTAATAATTTTCTTCCTTTTAACAGTATATTTTTTCTTCTTTAATGCAGATTTGTGTCGTTTTTGCCCAGAACCAATTTGCGGCGGCTCTAATACTTGAGCAATTTTTTTCCAACAGATTTTGCGGCTTCTTGGACCATTGTGCCTGCTGCTTCTTTAAAATGTGGTGTTGCTGCAAGTAGAGCAGCCTGAGCTTGGGGGCTGCGGCGCGCACTACTGGTGCGACGAAACGAGCTACCTTTGAGAAAATAGAGCGCAAAAAGCTACCAAAGCCTCCCCCATTCTGGTGGCTGCCTCGATAGCGCGCAAAGCCACTACCAAGCTGGTTTGTTCCTAGTAGGTCGTCGAACAAAGTCGGGTCGGGGGAGAATGATTTGTAGCCCATTTTAAAAACGCATTGGACGAAAATGCAATTCAAGCATAGATTTACCCGTTGCAAATTTAGCGTTTTCGCCTAAATCTGTTGCGATTGTGACATCAATAGTGTGAAAGATTGGTTTTAAAACAGGAACATTGTGAGGTAAATCAAACCTTTCCGTAATGATTCTGAAGGCGTCAGTGGTTCTAATAGGCACGGCGCGCAAAATCTGCGCGTAACTATCGCCTACTAATGAAAAATCTGCGACGTCGCAGTAAATATACAGTGACTGATTGCCGATCATGAAGTTGATTGCCTCATCAGCAGAAAAAAAATAATTTTTCTCAGGCTGTTCGGTTTTCTTACGACAGCTTTTCTTTTCTCCGGTGTCTGTGTGGCTGCAGGCGTATTCGGCATTATCGCTGTAGCAACTGAAGCTGTAAAAGGCAGGGAAAAAGCTGCAGCAGCTTGCATCACTCCTTTAGCGACTGAATCAGTAGAAGGAGGTTGCAAGCTTTTCACTAGTGCTTTTGGTGCTGGTGTTTGTGCTGTCGCTTTTCTTTCAATGAAAACGCTTTCCATCTGTTTGTAAAAGTCAAAAGTTTCTTTATTTTCAATTTATTCTGCTCAGCAGGGTCAAGATATGCATGGAGAAGGCGGCGATTTGTGAAGCCTAGGATCCGCTTTAGGAGCTCGGTATTAATGGTCAGAAAAACTCCTCTTCCCGATAATGTGAACTGCACTTTTTGATTATTAGGCAAAAGCCGAATCGCAAAAGCCTTCTCCGTTTTATGATTTTCACCATTTGCTGTAATCAGTGCAGGAGAATTAGCCGTGATAGCAGCGATGATTTGGTTGCTTGTATAGTTTCCAGCGTAGATAGTTACCCGCTTCGTATGCTGAAGAAATTTGTCTAGTCCGGTTTTCAACTCATAATCCGGAGCTAATCCTCGAATGTGGAATTATGCTAATCCTCGAATGTGGTGTATGTGGAATTACTTTTGAAATTTGAAAATCCTCATGTTGAAAGTTTGTTTCATAGCCCTTTTCAAAATCTTTCTTTTTCTTGGCGATTCGTACGCAATCTCCGACCTTAAATACAGCTTTTTTTCTTTTGACAATTACCCCTACAGTCTATTAAATACTGCTAAAGAATTTTCCTCCATCACATCCAACGGACACAACCCGTGTGCTGAATGTACCGTATTGTTATATGATTTGACAGTTTCCTGTAATTTGTTGTAATATTTGGCAGAGTTCTGATTGGTGAACAGTCTCCAGATGCGCTCTCGTAGGGTGCGAATCACGCGTTCGGCCATTGAGCATTTTACATCATCCTTTTCGGAAGAAAATAATGTAATTTCCCTCTGCTTTAATAAGTTTCTTACGTCTTTGTTGAAAAATTCACGCCCTTTATCAGCTTGAATTCGGTCGTAGGGTCCCATTTTATCTAGAATTTTTTTAAGTGCAGCACACGTTTCTTTGCCATCTTCATGTTTTATTAATTCACATTCGACTCTCTTAGAAAAACAGTCGATCGCAACCAAAACATACGTGAATCCTTTATTCCACTTTTTAAATTTACGCATATCCATTAGATCTACTTGTAGCTGTGAATTCTTATTAATAACAATAGTCGGGTTGCGCACAAACCTGTGTCTGACAGGCTTGTGTAATGTGTAAGCATCTATGCTTTCCAGTACACGTTGGGCTTCCCCACGACTGGTTTTCTGGGTGCAATTGTCCACATACCGATCAATTCCGCCAAGGCTACTAAGTAACTTCGCATCCAGATATTCCAACGCCATCATTAGATTGTGTTTGACAGGTTTGACAGGCGCTCAGTTCCGCTTGTTTTTTATTAGATTCTGGCTTCTCTGGCGCTTTTGTTTTTAAATCAAGTTTACTAGCCTTGTAATCACCATCATCATCACCGTCATCACAGCAAGATGACACGCAGTTCAGTTTCATTCCTTGTCCAACATGAATGGTAAAAGGTACACAGCCTGCCATTTTAGAATAAACTCAGCCACTTTCTTTTAATACCATTACCTGTTACAAAAAATTTTGTCTGTTTCCGCGAGCGATCAGTTCGGCGTATCGCTAGCTTTTTGTTTACAGGCGAAATTTTTGTCGAATTCAGGATCGACTCGGAGTCGCGTTGCCGTTTTTTTGTTTTGTTATTTGTTAATGATTGTTGGCTTTCAGACAGGTCCTCTAATTCTCTTTCCTCTGTAAAGGGCTCCCACTCACTAGTTCGTCGACAGGCAGCTTGTGCGTTTTTTTCTTGATCCTAGTAGTTGGCGTTTGCGTTCGTGTTCGTTTTTTCTTTGGCTTTGTTGCAATCGGGTTACTGGTGGACGTTCGGAAAGCGATAAAGCAGTTGATGGAATTGATGGTGGCCATGCAGCAGAGTTTATAACTATGATCTAGCGAGGAATTTTCTAATGGGCCTTGTTCGTCAAACGCCCTCGGCTTGAGCGCTAAAAAACGTTCCAAATTTTTACTTAAAATCTGGGCTTTCTGCCATTCACTTAAATCATGGCTGGCCAGAATCTTAGAAGTTAAATCATTTAGAGAAAGAATACTGTTTGCTTCAGGAGGGGCTTACAAAACAGCCACATCCGAAGCCCGCCTTTTTACATCGCGTTCCGGTTTTATATAATGCACCTCCATGCTGCTACTGAGAGCTTAGAGCTCCTGCCAAAACACTAGCTAAAACTGGCAGAATTGCTCCCAGAAATCCTCCCTTTTGATTCAATACAGCTTTTTTGGATTTGGCGGAGTACTTGCGCAGAGCCAGAAGTCTAACGGGCTTTCGCCATCTACGACAGATTTTCGTTTGCTCAGGTGACAAATTCACGGTGTTTTTCACTATATTCAGACAGCACTCTTCTAGCCCTTTAATATTTTTTGTGCAGTAACTTGCGATTCGCTTGCGATCTTTTGGTTTGAGAGATGAGAGGAAGAGCAGAAACGATCCAAACTCTTTAAGGTGTTTTGTCATGATGAGGCAGGTACGGAGCAAAATTTAGGATCTGTATAAATTCTTGCGCACTGAAACTCTGCATTGGAATTTTGAAAAATATGTGATCGCAACCTTAAACAGTCAGGACAATTCGGTTTCAAGCCTACAATCAGTGGCTCATACGGAATCTTTGTGGCGCGCTGATATGCTTTTTTGAGGTGTTTCATACCAGATTGACGAGATAAGTAATCAATCTGATTGTTATCGCCAACGTTTTTAAACAAAATTATGTACTGTGCATTTAAGGCTATATCTCGGCTCGCTTTCCCCTGTTTAAATAGGTTTTGCGTTATGTAAATCACCGATAAATTTTTGTGATGAATCCCTTGTGTAAAAATTTTTGTAGCTAGTTCGTTACTCGCCATTTCACTAGATAAATCATCAATAACTAAAAGATTATGTTCCTCCTTGGAAAAAAAGTTGCTGTTGCTCAGAATACTTTCTACACCTTTAACAAATTCACAAGAGGCGAAAACTTTCTGAAGCTCCTGGTAAGCATCCTGCCACTCGCTGTACGCCACTACTAGTCGTTTCGGAGCCTCGGTTGTAACATTATTTTTCAATAACTTTACTATATACTGCGTTTTGCCACTCATAGTCGGACCGCAAACCATTGCACCAAACGGCCACTGAAATCTGATGTCATACTGAAGCTGCGGAAACATGGTGACGATTACTAACGTAGTTACGGTTGGACAGTTGAATGTGGAGATTAATCTCGTGGATTTGTCCAGGCACGACCTATTTATCACCGAATATGATTCAAAACAATTTTCGGGGTTACTATGGCGTGTTTTCGAACCGCGTAAATTTCACTGTCAGTTATACGCCAATGGAAAAATAACTGTGAACGGTGGACAAAGTGTAAAGGAATCGCGGAAAAATTTGCGGTTTTTTCTTCGCAAGCTAACGTCTATTGGTTACCAGAAAGCCAAAATAACAGATTTTCAGGTTGTTAACATTGTTGGAAAATGCCGGTTCAAGAAGCAAAGACTGGACAATATTAACTATTTGACATATAAGAAATTTTACGAGCCAGAGCTGTTTCCTGGAATGACAGTACGATTGCCAAAAGCCACAGCAGTAATCTTTAACAGCGGAAAATGCAACATTTTAGGCGCTAAAAGCATGGAGGATATCGATGAAGCCTTCCAGGAGCTTACGAAGATGTTTCCTTAGACCGGCGTTGGACAGAGGGTGGATTTTCAGGGGGATAGCTTTTGCTTCTTGCTGCTGGTGCATTCGCTGCAGTCGCATTATTCGATATCCGAGTCTTCTGCAATGCGAAACGTAAAGTCTGAGCATATCTAATAAATAATTTGCTATTTTTACCATCGGATTCTCTTTCTGTGGTGCCACTGTCTTTGAGTTCCTTTCCGCTTTCGACATCTGGTAAATATTATGTTGCAATTAGTTAAAAGCGTATTAAAAATCAATAAATCATCTTACCGTTTACTTCCTTGGGGCTGTCGGTGACGTTCGCTCCATTGGCAACGTCGCTTTCCCAACGTTTGCGGAACTTACGAGCAGGAAACATTCCGTTTACGTCCATACAAAAAGAATGCTCTCGGGTGAAAATCTCAAATGGCGCTTCTGCTGAGCCGTCTTTGACTATTTTATTTACACGGAGCAGTTTCGACACTCTGACATTATGACACTCGGACACTCAGACACTACCACTTGGACACTTGACGTAGTGGCCAACTTTGCCACTGAGTTTGCTGTTTTCTAGGCACATAAACATCTGTTACTCTGTCTGCAGCAGACTGGCGGAATGGCGAAGTGCCGCAGCATAACAGTACCAGCCTTTCTAGGCAAGAAAAGCTATATATGCGCACAGCAGAAACTATTTAGCCATTCAGTTGTTCATTCAGACCAGTGCTTTCCTTGAACGTACTTGCAGCTTCTTGACAGAGACATTGACTGTCAGGAACTGTAGTCCGTTGCAAGAAAGGTCACCTGAGGCGAGAATTTCTTTTTTAACACACCTTGCGTTCGACAATGCGAAAGAACAGTCGAACGCCAGGTGTGTTAAAATGGATTTTCAAGCATATTGTGTACCTTGGAGTTTGCTTGTATAATCCTAGTCAGCAAATATAAGTGGGTTGTTTTTCGATATGAGTTTGGTTGAGCTTACACTGTTATATGCTGCAAGCACATTCTTACTTATCGCGAGAAACACTGCTTCATTTCTAATAATGTTGTATGTAATGGTAGAAACATTGTGCGTTTATCTGAGTAAAATTTCTCAGCAAATTGTTTCAGAAATAATAATTAAATTTTACGTAAATCCTTGTGTATCATATGGTTTGCATTTTATTTTTCAGAACAAAGAAAGCAGTGGTCGTTCCGGAAATGCACCCCTTTCTTAAACGCTGGGAATCCGCGCCTTGGTCTGAAAAAGTGTCACATTGGACATTGTTAGATGTGACCAAATAATTTTGCCAGAAGCCTAAAGCATGTCGTAAAGCCACAGTAAGTTTGCGTTAACAACCGTTCTTGTTGCCTGCTTACTTTTAAGCGTTTTTTGTAGATCGACTGTGCTAACAAGTACCTTGAAAAGGCAATGTACAACGCAGAATTCTACCATCAGCAACAGTACCTGTATGATGAAATTGCTGTGAAACTGGAGAGCATGCTTGCCTGTGCCAGAATGATGCAAAAAAGTCGAGAAGCTACCGTAGTCAAACTGCTGGATCTTGTTGCTCCCCAAACAATTCCAACCGGACGTCACTGGACAGAGCAAATCCGCAATTACGATAGAAAGCTGGACAGGCAAACGGCCAACCTTGTAAGGACAAACCAGAGAGCTGAAGAAGTATTCTTCTTCACCAGCAACGAGGAACGCCAGTTAAAGAATGGTGTATTCATGCGAGATGATACGAAAGCTCTAACCGACGAGCATTACGCTGTTCGCGCTACTGAAAACTTTGAACCGCTATTCGAAAGACTGGAGTCCATGGCCAGCATTGCGTGCTACTATAAAGAGCAACCTGATGATGAGCGTGACCTGTTGCGCCAGTTAGTTGAACTGGATAAACTGCTTCGAAATATGGATAATGGTAAATGCTATATTTCCATGTTGTGTTTTGGATAATCCGCAGTGTTTTCCTTGCAGGTAAATATCATCTGAAGCGTTACAGTCAACAGATGCAAATTAGCGGGAAGTTGTTATCCGATCGCTTCCTCGAAGAGTCTGCGTCAGACAGTAATTGGAAAAGTAGTTTTTTGGATGCAGTGAAGGCTGAAATATCCATAGTTGCTGCAAATGTCTCATCAGCGCGCACGTGATTTTGTTATTAATTTTTTCCAACATTTAAATCTGGTGCGTGACATAAAATAATCCAAATCAAATTTCATAGGCAAAGCTGGACCAGTGGACGGTCGTGCAAGTGACACGATGGATTATGAAACCCGCAGCGAAGGCGGCTCTTCTGTGTTGTCATCATTTATTACGTCCGATATCGATGAGCTAGCAAATTATTAGCGGTTTCATCATCATTATCAGCATTTGTTTCTAATTATTGTGTAACAGATAATTATTATTTTATTCCTAATTGCATATATGATGAATGGTTGTTCTTAAGTACTAATTAGATAGATGCCATGGTTAATTATCTTTTTCCTTTTTATCGCTCGTTGAAAAATAATTTTTACTGCTATGTACTTGTCTTTTTTATTTTTTCTATTGAAACGGTTTGCTGGTAAGTTTATGTGAAGATATATTATTATGGTAATTATAATATCAAGTAATTGATAATGTTGAAAAATTATTATAAAGTTGTACAGTTACGCTGTAATTTATTATTGCTCTATAGCTAATAGTGAAATACAGTTGCGCTGTAGTAAACAGTGCAGTTTAATCTTGAGAGTGTTCCCTTGTACCCGCTAACTGCAGTCATCCCTTGGAGTTCCCCGCTGGACATCCAGACTGTAGTGGACAACTGCAGTCGGCGCTCAGCGGGGAGCTATTTACTACTATTATGAACATGAGAAAAACAAGTGGAAGAAGGAAGATAGTCGCACATGAGTGAGCAATCAGTGCGTGTTCTGTCTCCTCTGGTCGCTGTGGAATTGCAGCTGGCGCCTTGGTGGTCGCCTCCGCAGTGACCACAGATGTGAGCAAAGCCGCACGTGGCGTGGCTGTAACATTTATTTTCCTGCCAATTATAGCAGCAAGTAAACTTATAGCGGATTGTGCCGGCGCGTTGATTGCCGGCATTCCCACGAAAAAGCGGACGCTTCTTCTGTATTTTCCGATCAACATCGTAATCACCGCGACGCGTCTTCGCATGAAAGTATTTATCGCTTAAAGCCGATCGTTCATGTGAATCAGAGAGACTGAGATCATCATGAATGGCCATTTCACGAAATTCTTCGTCAAATTTCAAAACTGCCTCTTATCGTCGTAACCACGCCGTCGTATAGCCAGAAATTCTAAATATTGCAAATATTATTAGAGGACTCACCCGAGTTGTAGTTGTTAGAATAGTGGCGGCCGTGGCTATGGCGTGAACGTTAACCGCGGGAACGGGCCCTGCCACGGCTGCTGCCGGCGGCCTATGCATGCTGACCGTTGTTGCTATTGGCGACCGGGACATTGGCTTGCGCGGATCCGGCGTTCTCGGCATTGCTGTTACGGGAGCGCAGCAGTTGGCGGAGATCGGAAACGGCAAGCGGTGCTCGGTGATTGATGAAGATCTGAATCTCGTTGCGATCGGCAGAAAGCTGGATGAAATCGAGATCTTTCGGATAGGACTTACTTTGATGAAGGCGGAGAAGTTTGTCCAGGTTGGTGAAGCCAGCTTCCTCCAAATCAAGCAGGGTGGCTGGAGCCAGGCCGCATACGGTAATCAGCTCGGCTAATGGTCCGGCGGCAGCTATTCCTGCTGGAGGTCCAACAGGATGGTCAGTCGGTGCGATGGCGCCGTTGGCATCCACAGCGCCTTCCATGCGTGATGGCGGGATGTCGTTGTGGTTATACAAACGTGGCAACAAGACTTTCCTGACGCCGGTATCATCTAGACCAGCATCACGGCATGCCTGCTTGAGCTGTGGAACCTTCAACTTCTTCAGTTCGTTCTTCGAGACCATTATGAAGACCGTTGGCGGTTATTATTAAAAAAGGTCACAGAACGTTCTAAAGGCTGACGATCTAAAAGCTAAGTATCTGCTAGTAGCAGGCTAATTTGCTAAATTGCTAACAAAAATTTTGCTAACTGCGAAGGTAGGAGCAATGATTATGCACTGTGTGCAGTGAGTTGCTTATATACCTCATCCAGACATTGACCGCTGGCCAATCTCCAAGCGGGCGGGCTTAGGTTGCGCCGCTAGCCAATAATGGACAGATTCCCTTTCCCGGGGAATCTTGTCTATTTTATCGTTTGTGAATAACAACAACATCCACTTTGTGCAGAGGATACCACTGGCGCATTCTCCATTCCATTAACACCGTTAGCCAAATGAGATAGTTGTCAACCTTTAAGGAAACCTCGTGTACACTAGGTACGTCTTGCAGGAGATACAATGTCCCATTGGTCAAATTCGGCAGATCTTTAAACAAAGACAAGACGGTGTCAGTTGCCTTAAGGCCATGGCTATTTTGGCTTTAATCGCTTTAAAATGAGCAGTTTTGCTTTTTGCTTCGAAACGTACGTAGTATTTAGGTCTATTTATGTATCCAGTGGAAATTAAGAAAAATTCAGTACGAACAAGCCCAAACGCAACTTAAACGATGCAGTTTAAAATTTGAAATAAAATAATTCCGCTAAAAAATTAACTAGTCTACACACGCTACAGGGAAAAATCTATGTAAGCAGCCAAAAAATCGAGAACTTAGTCCTCTTGCACCTTGCGAGGGCTTTTTTTAAAAAACAAATTTTTAAACTTGCAGCCTTTAAAAAACACTTTACAATTGCTGGTTATCGTTATAACTCAAGTAAAACCGAATATTTTTAAATTCGCTCTCGCAATTAAGCTTTTGAGGTATTCTTCCATCTATTGCGCGAGTTTCAAAAAAAATTTATAACTCCGAAATTAGAAGTAAATTTTCAAAGTTATTTGGCTGCATTTTAGCGGCACCTTTCAAAAGTTCATGCAAGTTTATGTCTCCTGTGCACATGTTGGCTGATTCCACTCACCACATGCATCCCGCCACAAAGACCATCCAGACAGCCGAGTGACCACTGCAATCACACTTGCGTGTGATCAAAACCTATTGTCTTTCTGTGTTTGCTTTCATTCTACCGATGTCCAGCGATGTTTTATGGCTCGGTAAGACAAAAGATGTGGACCGCAATTTATGCTTCCATATTAGTTCCATTGACTTTATATTACATATTCGCTAGCTTGCATATACTCGCGTAATGGTAAGCCGAGCCAGTCATTAGATGCAATGTCGACCACTTTGGGTCGCTTAATTCAAAAATTCATATTTCGAATTCCACTGATTTTATAGGTTTGAACTTTCTTCCAAGCAATAGAGCAGTCTTCATTTAGTATGTCTGAGTTTTTACGGAAAATGCCATTTTAGCATTAAAGCCAAAATAGCCATGGCCTTAACTCTCGCGCTGGACAATTTATTTGGAGTGCGTCGCTGAAGATTCCCGTTGATTTTCTCGGTCTCCTGTTTTACAGCGTTTGATACACAAAGAGTGGCCTGGTTAACGTGGGCGAGTGCTGTTAATGTTGTTAGTAATGCCGTGTCGGCACAAGATTTTAAGGTGTTTTCTACAAGATTCAGCAGGATATTGGTATCCAAAACTCCCAAATCGGTCTCACTAAGCCTAAAATTGCAACCCAAATTGTAACATCCCTTAGCTTGTCTTATTGTCCGCATCCCTTTACAGAACTGTACAATATCATGTCTTGCAGAGAAACTGTTAAAAAATGGCTTAAGGAATCAAGTCATATCTGACAGTGCTTGTTTTTTCAAAAGCAAGATAAAATGATATTTTAAGGTAAACAGCGTGCATTGCATGAGACAAGCACAAAATTCTGCTATAGAAACTTTTGCTAAACTTACGTGGCGGTTGGAAGATATTCATTTTACCACGCCGCTCAGGGTAAAGATGGTACGGATTTTATTCAATTACCAACAGTGTACTCGTATTTGCAGTAAATTGTAATAACAACGACCACTATAATCCGAAATGCAGTACGTTTATATACATGCCTAGCGCTGCGGTGCATTGTGATTGCTCATGTGCTCTTGACAGATTTTTCGTCCTGATTGATTCTGCGTCCCAGTTTTAAAATTCAGTTTTGGTCATAGACTCATACATGCCAGGATGACATCAGCTGCCATTTTTACTGTAAAGCTGTCCTGCATTAAAGGCTGAGGTTCGTTTTATTGCATCAGATGTCGTGATGTATTTCAGAAGAAGATGTACCCGGTCTGCAAAAATCTGATAAAACTAGACACTACCAGCCCTCATCTTGTGACTGACTGACCTTTTTTATCTTTTTTTCGAACTTTCCAGACTCGCTGTCAGATTAAACGGGCACGGAACATACATTTGGGCATTAAATTGCTGAGCACACATGAAAACTAATAACTGATGAATGATAAAATTAGGTACGGAGCCACGGATTTAGTACGGTCAGTGATCATACGCGATAATTGATAAGCATATGTTACACGACCGCTTATCACTGTTAATTATGATATCATTTCTTAATTCTTGTCGATACACCAGTAAGTACATCCGAAATATTTAGGACGTATGACGAAGTGTGCTCAGCAGCAGTGCAGTATATATTCTTTAAGTTTTGGCGATGGTCAGTGTCACAATAACAGATCAACAATTATGAGTTTTCTACCTTCTGTTTTAAAGCGTGTGCACTTGTGCAGCAACAGTTAATAAGTGGTTGTCAGATTGATACAGCACAAATACCATTGGAGTAATTCCGACCTTGCCTACTTGCGGCTTTGATAGTGTACATGTTGGATGAAAATATGGTTGGATTCTCAGATTCTGGAGTACCGACGATAGACTGCTTGGCAGTTCAATGCTAGCATGCCAAGCAGTCTATCGTCGGTGTTCCAGACGGGATTTGGAGTTTGGACCATGATGTTATGACGGGATTTCCACCGGTTATTAGAAGTCGGATTCTTGTGCGCAGGGCCGTAAGCTGAAGACCCTACTGTTCTTACCGAATCACGAGCAATACAAGCAGGTGTGAGTAAACAACAAAATGTAGGCAAGACCGTAATTCTATGTTTTTCAAGCTGTCGTTAGTGCTGCTGTGTCAGAAGTTACTCAGAAGTCAGAACTGAAATCATCTGAAATCTTCTATTATTCTGAGCCTTAACATTAAATTGCTTGATGATGTATGTACGAAGAATCGTTCGGGACGCAAATGTTGTATAAATGAGTCTAGCCGGCAAGCATGTCACACTTTTGTTCCTAAAACGTGTTTCACAATGAAAATTTACTGATGAAATTAGTCAGGAATGACGACAAAGATGCAAACAAATGTTCAAAAATACAATAAGTTAACAAGCGTCTTCGTTAGCAATCAAGAATTGCAGCGATTGTCACTGTCAGAGTAAAAGCAAAAAATATTACCGCCGCGGCCGTGCCAGACACTAGAAGCCAAAAGTTGCTGTGCTGTCCACTTATATCCTTTTGGTTCGTGCGTTTGTAAAAAGACATTACATAATGGTTGTCCTAGAAAATTTGTATGTAATTTTCCGCTGGTTTCTCCATTTTCTGTACCTTGCATTGTTTAGAGTGTTTCCGAAACGTTTCGGTGGAAAAATTCATTTTTAAAAAGTGGATTTGACAACTGACATTGGGAGTACTTAAAAAAGTATTTTCACTGGCAATGATCCAGTGGCAATTGGCAGACACAAATTCAAGAACGTTCGCATTGCATTATTCGCACGCATTGTCAATGAATTCTGGTGAAAACTTATTTGGACTTGCCTCTTCGGTAAATTTTACTCTTTAATAACTGGCTGGATAATATTATATAATTTGTTTTTTAACTTATGGAGCTTTTAAAATCTTGCAGAGCGCGCGTGGGCTATTTTTTACAGCGCGTGGGCTACATTATTTTACATACAGGACGACAATGTAAAATAATGTACAGTAGAAGCAAGAAGCGCAATTGCAATTCAAAAACCATACAAAAAACCGGCGGGCTTTTTTAAAAATTTGTAATATGGGAACCCAGATATTTAAAATTAAAACTTAGTCCAGAGGCAGGCCTGCAGCGATAACACAGTGCTCGGACCACGGAAATGCTTTTTCCCCAGCATAAAGAGAATTATTTGCGATAAACAGCATTTTAAAGGGAATACGTACTTACAGTCCAATACTATGTACGCAGACAACACATTCGACACTTAAATTTGTTTTTAGCACATTTTTTAAAGTATTCCCAATGCTTCGAAACCACTCTCTTTCGAAACCAGAAAAGGAATTTCTTCTGAGGGAAAAGCCTCTGGCCGAGGCCTGATAACTACTATGTCTAATTTGGTAAGAGTACGAGTACGTACTCGTACATCAGCATCCAGCTAGATGAAGTGCGAAAGGTTACATTGGTACAATCAAGGTCAATGTGTTAATTTTGAGAGTTACGAATACAATTACTAATCACCTAATGTAATTGTGGAAAGCGTAATGTGCGCACCAAAGTGTGCAGTTAGCATCGTCGCAAATTCCAAAGTGAAAAATTAACAGAGAAACTTCAGCACTACGTTCAAACTATGAAATAATGCTCTTTGCCCCAATATTTTCTGTGCGAGAAGCCGCATGGTATTTTATAGTGTGGCGAAACGGTTTCTTTTAAATTTTTGATTCACGAAAAAAATAGGCAGTATCTTTTTCAGTGCTAAAAGCTGTGGTATTGTAACTCTTTTTTAAGAAACCGGTACAGGTTTGTGCTCCGGCACGACTGCACAGTTAGGCCGTGCCGGGCGCCGGAAGGCTCCAGGCTACCTGTGTGAATTTATTCTGTTGAAGAAATACACTGAACAACTTTTACCTTGCTTTAACTAACAGCGAAAATAGGCTTTAGTGGCTCGATTAGTGTAGATCGGCAATGATTTAACTAGAAGAATATACTGTATATTTGTTTCGAAATCTCCTTCCAGAAAAAAGTATTACATTTAATAAAGATCTCGAAAGACTTCACAAGTCATAAAAGCATTCAATTGAAGCACCCGCCGGCCGATATTGGTGTTACTTTGGTTGCCGACTTCCCTGGTACCAGTTTCGGTGCTGGTGCAATTAATAACTGCTCGCAATTTTCGGGGAAGTTTTGGTACTGTTGCTGGTAGCGGTAATGGTAGTCGTACCAGGACTGGTGGTGGTACCCACTGTGGCACGGGCGCGTACTGGTTATGGTTGCTGCTTTGTAGATTTTAGATGTTTTCATTTTCCTGACACCTGAGAAATCTTTTAAAAAACAAAAAAAATCTAAGTCTTAAAAAAAATCTAAAAATCTAGTAGATCAAGGAACTAACAAATTTATTAAAACTAAAGAGGAAAAGGATAACCAAAGAAGCTGAAGAAAAGTTAAGACCCAACGGTAAACTAGTTGGGCTTTCTTTGGTTGTTTAGGTAAGGAATTACGAATAATAAAACAGTGAAAACCTATAATTTACAGAATAGAAGTACCTCTACCAAAACCATTACCAGGTCCATTAGCACTACCAGTACCAATGCCACACCAGGTACCACAACCAGTACTGAATGGCGTTAATTTGCGAGTGGCATTGGATTTGATGGTATTGCTCATGGCCGTTACTCTAGGAGTACGAATAAAATAATCATGAAAAGATGGATGCTCATTCATTTCTCTCGTACTCCTAGAGCAATGGCCATGTACTGCTGCAGCTGGCCGATATGATTGCGATTTCACACTTTGTGTATTTGTTGCTGGTGCTGGCGGTAGTAGCATTATAGCATAATGTTCTGTTCCTCAAATGACCAATATCAAACGTAGCTACCTTCCTGATTTATAGCAATAAGAATATGCGTACCTTAAATATCCTACTGATCATGAGCGGGCGTTTTTACAATGCTCGTCTCTTTAGAAGTTTCTTTCTCCGATACAAAATTTCCATTCGAACCTTTACAAAAAAATAGTAACTATTATTGCACTATATCGCGATCCAAAAAATTAATTTTTATTTACTTAACTTGCGAATTCATTAATCACAAAAAATTAACATGCTAATTTTCAGTTTCCTGTAAGTCGTGCAGGTATAATGTTGAATTTAGCGTGATAACGATATTCAGTACGCCGACAGTACCCTGTTCTTGTTATAATGTTTTGATAATTGTAATCCAAGAACGGTTTTATCACGGTTACCGTTATGTAGGGTGACAAGCTTTAACACTGCAACTAAAAATTTCAGTTTATATATTTGATGATTTCCCACATTCTTTTTAGGTTTGCAAGAACGTTCTTAACCGTTTCACGGTAAGCAAATAAAAGATAAAGTTAAGGCATACTACTGTTACGGTCGTACCGTATTTTGAAACATGTAGTTTCCGGTCTATGTAGCCGACTAGCTGAATTGACACGGTGACACCCTACGTCAGCACTCAGGAGTAATTTAATCGGTGCATGATAGAAATTTGATCAGTGATTTATGTATAATTTATGTTATAAATAGTAATGGGAAAAAGAGGTGAGCTTAGCGCGCGGCCGGCCAGTCAAATGCAGCATTAGCTTAAAATGTGGGAACAATCTCAAACTGGCGAGTATAATTAATGATCCCGTTGCCAGTCGTATTTAGGCAAATCTTGAACTGAAACTAGTTAAAGAATGAAACCAGAATCATAGGTTGTTTTCCAGTGACTGACATGGTTTGCAATTTTGTACGACGAATACAAGCACGATAACTATTTTTGCACTACATGTACATCGCGATCCGAGAAACTAAAACAATTAAAACACAGGAATTTCAAGTTCAGGTATCACAACGTTACCGCCTTTTTTTATTAGCTTTTGACCAACCACCGATAAATGAACACATAAAATAAAAAATATAAAAGACGCTGTTTCAGAAATCATAACTGCAGTTCTAAAATAGACATTGTTAACAGTAACGGTAACAGCGTGCAAAACATTTTCCAAAAAGGGGAAAACCTGCCCGTTTAGGAACTTTTCTATCAAGGAAATATAGATAATACTGCAAATGCTTCAGTTATCTTAATCATGTTAGCAGCTTGATATCCTTACGACTTCTGGATAGATATAGACAAGTACGTGAAAACGAAAATGGGATGTTTCAACCATGTGAAAAACTACTTGTTATTAAGCAGAGAAACGTTGTACCTCTTACAATTGTTAGTTGATTGACATATTTTTAACCGTTGCACGGGTAACTTGTCGTGTGTAGTTTTTTTATCAGTCAGCTATCAATAAGAGATTTAGTTGGGCAGTAGGTACTGTTGTACTTAGCTATGTAGTTAGTACCTCGAGACGGCCTTGGATATAAAGTGCGAATAATAAGGAGTTCTAAATTTTAATGCACCAACCATAAATCCTTTAACTGAAATGTTATTTGTACGAAGGGTTATTTGGAAGAGCACGAAAACATAATAATTAATAATTAGATTGAGCAAACCGAATTAACCAATTTCTCCATAGACAAAATAGAAAATTTACAAAAGACAATTGTAACGAGCATGTACAGTAATCACCGTGGGAAATGACATGTGGTCCGTCAAACCCGATGGGGACTACTCTGAACATCCGTTAAGACGTCAGTAGACTACCACACCCTTGGCGTACATTATGTCGTACAGTTTATTTAAATGGAGTGCAGTCCAGACGCATTTCCGGGAAAAGTCTTATTTATTTTTGAGCCTCGAACAAATCTTGTTGGCAAAATGACTTCATGTCGTACCGGTACTGGCATAAAAGGTGAGCGATCACTCATTGAATACGGCCTAACTAAAAAACTGAGTCTCTACGGTAGCTGTTTCGTATCTGTCAGCCGGTGATTGCGATGGATACGTAAAAAGAAGCATCGGTTACTGTACTGTAAATATTTGTTTACATCGCACAAACACATACTTAGAATTTAAAAGTCTCACCGTCAAAGAGTCATACTATGGAAACAACAAAAAACAGCGCAAACGTCTCCCACCGTAAACAACCTGCGCCCTGATAGCAATTAACTATCACAATGTTTCCGAATAATTTCGATTATCAATATTGTTTCATTTGCTACTATTCTGTAGAATTATTTGTTTTCGTGCCGGTAAGTACCGACGACATTCAAAAATGAAAGTTTATTAAGGTTGTATTCGGACCTTGTAAGGTTGATTAGAGAATGTAAAAATTTATTCGCAAATGTAAAACACCCTTCCACACCCCCCATTGCCAACCGTTGCAGTATCAAAACGCATAACAACAAAATGCGAGTGCAGTGATACTGTACTTATGGATGCTGTACAAGTAACAAGCACAAATACTACAACTGTAACAACAGGTAAGCGTAAACATGGATCTTAATTATGTTCTTATAATTTACTGGTTCTTGTTAACCTCTTATAATTTTATAAGTACAGTTAAACACAAAGTGATTACAGTAACTATACTTGACGTTTGGTTCGACAATTGCACATATTAAATATTGGAGTTTATATAAATACAAAATACGCAGTATACACTGCAATTTGCACATTTTAAAATTTCAGTACTACCCTAATGCTTGGGACAACTGTTTAACTGTGTAAATGATAAAAGTTGTGGATTCTGGTGGCGTCGTATGATTCGGTCATCAAACAACACGATCGGGAAGTTTTCGCAGTACGGCCAGTTCCACATATTAGAATTGATTTACTGCATCCGGGATCCAGCACTGCTAGTACTTGGGAAGAGACATCTACCGCGTAAGCGTATATGCAAAGCAACAAGATACTGTTTAGTTTGAACAGTTCTTTGGAAATACTTCCCTGTGCGTATTCAATAATGCAATCCTGTGCGTATTCAATAATGCATTGCAATAACCAGTCTCCTGGAACGGATCCCGGCCTCCGATAGACACCACTTATTGACTATGTATGGAAAAAGGGCATACACAGCCGGATTCACCGCATCTTCTACCGGCTGCCCGCAAAGCATATACTGGTTTTGGCGAAACATGAAAATGTCAATAATAAGTTGTTGAGCATAAACGCATGGCAGCTGCTACGGCTAATCGCTGGTTTCCCTGGAATGCTGTAAATTGATGCGCATTTTCCCGTCTGCGTTGTTGGAGTGCGTTACGTAGTAGCAATTGAAAAACTCATACCTTGCGCGTTTCCTGTATGGTTTCCACTTTCAAACAGTCTGCGCTGAACATATTATAGTCAACCCCGATCGATATGCACAAATGTTGGCAGCTTTCCGCAGGTGGCTCAATAACTACAAGTAAATTTCGCAGAAGTTTACCCCTATCTTTGTGAGCAGACTAGACATTTCGTCTGACACTTCAGTTGCGGGTACCACAGCATAAAAAATATCGATTATACGTATCGCTTGAGATCATTTTCGCTACGGTGTCAAGGGGTCTGGGAAACATTACATATTCGACGAAAACATGGATAGAGAATGTGGTAAATAAATGTGAGAAATTGAATCCCTGGGATATTGCGAAAGCAGATTAAATGTCTGACACAAGTACAGTAATTAAAAATCTCGTGTAAGTTTTCTAACATCTTTCGTTAAAGCAAGCAATCGTTGCAGATTTGCAGACTTCATAGTACCTAGCGAAGCATGAAGAAAATATTCCAGCGTCCAGAAAATTTAATGTAAAAAAGCACGTGCTCGGATTCTTTGTAGCAGTAGTTTATTGTATTTCGTTATCTTTAATACTGTACAATATATCTGTAAACTGTAAAGCTGGTCGAGACTAGCCAGTGTTCCGGAACGAACGGAAACGCTTGTAATCGCTTTAGACACATATGACAATCTAATTTATCGATCGCTTTTTATCAGCAACTTTCCAGTGATTTCGTCAGTACTTACGGTACGAGTATTTGTTGAGCAGATAACCCAGACCATGCCGGCTGTGTTGCTCAGCTACCAGCAAGGGACCAAATTTTTCTGTCCTTATTGATCGTTTTTGTATGGTTTTTGTTTCCTGTAATTTGACAATAATATTGTATTACGCAATTGTGCTTCGTGTCTCCAATTCGAGTTTGCCGTTTGAAATCACCATTACTTGTATACTTACGGACTATACGTATTACCGAGGTGAATCGGTTTACAATATGGTGCCATCATGCGGTGGTGCATCAGGTCCTACGGCAACGGATAGATACTTACTCCCAAGAAACCAATGAAAATTCTAGATCTTGCATATTGTGTGGATTACAGGATGCAATCTTGGCATGGATGAGTATATGGAAAGTAGCGAAGCAATACGAAAACAGCCTAATTAAAGATCTATTTTTGGCAGTAATTATTAGTACAGAAGCAATTCGCATAGTGTGAATACTGTTTAATTTAGCTGTTTTTCCTTTTTCAATACCGAAAAAAATTTTATTGCCTATTTCGTTTTCAAAACAGGAAAACTGCGAAAGCTGACTTTTAACTAGTGCAGATAGTCACAATTAGATCCAACGTTCAGACATATTTGGTAAACACTCTATACCGTCCCTACAAGAATTACACTGCGAATGGTGCGGGCCTTCCGGCATTTGAGTACGGTTGCACTTATACCTGTTAGACATTCTGGCGATTTGTACTGTAAGACTGCGAGAGGGAAAACATTTAATACACAGCTGGCAAAATTAATGCGTGGGAATCCGATAATCACGCTCTGCTTTCACCGTACGAATGCGATACCGGATCACGCTTCGACGACGTGATCAAGGTTACAATTAGTCTGTCTGCGCAATCCGATTCGAGGCATGAACACGCGCAGTCTCTCATCTAGCAGACGCACATTGCTGATAGACGACGTAAAAGGAATAATTACAATTACCGTATATCGCCGGTTTCAGGGCGCTTAATCATTGTGATCTTTTGTTTGCCATAGACTAAGGTCACTAAGCTATTCATGCACAGCTGAAATAAAATAGAGCTGATACATGATTTGCGAGTGATTTCGTTTCCAAACCGAGAGGACAATCGATTGAAGCGAACATCACCTACATCACGTACTCTGTATACGCAGTGTTTACATTATCTGTATGCCTGTATCGGAAGCTGGAAGGGAAATATATGTAATTATATTGAAAAAGTTTTAGACCCGAAATTTCGACCGCCAAATATACTTGTGCGGGTCTGCGGGGGTGGGTTTACTGATCTACAGATTTGTTCTTGACTTGTTGTTGTGCATGCTTTTTATACAAAATTATGTTCTCAAGGCTTGAGTTTCCGGTGGCGGCGAAATTGTGAACGTGTCTCACTGGTCAGCCGTTAACATCGGTGCCACCAATGTATTGTACAGTAATTGTAGTGGTAGCCAAATGAACGCCCATCATCCTAAGTTGGCCCCTTGTTTCTTGTGTACATAGGGTACCTATATTCCTAGAACCTTTTAATTATTGATCCATGATTTAGCTTGTCATAATCTTTTCCCCTTGTTATTTCACTCGCTCTTATATTATGCTATTTATGGACTGCAACATGTAATATTGTCATATGCCCTTGTTGTACAGCGAGCACCGCCCGTTGCACGAACACATTTATACCATAAAATTTTATAGTACTCGGTCGTAACGGTAACATAACAAAAAAAAACGTTTACTCGCATCCTTAGTCACATGGAACTAAGTCAACTAACAAACTTAAGTTATAACTATCAAGCAACGCCACAAAATTAATGTAAGGATGAAGCATGAAAATGAGTGATTATTGCTTAGCGCTTGCGTTTCATTATCAGTCCCAACGGTAACCCGTGTAATCCGGAACGTAAAAAAGAACGCCACCCGACGTCAAGTTCCAACTTGCAAAGACATGTTCCACCGGAAAGACACATCCATCACATTCATTCCTCAGCCTGCGCAATCTGGGAATCTTCATCACAGCATCCTCCATCCATATCACAATCATCAAACAGGAAGAATCGGAAACACTGTTCCAATACGTATCCACTTTCAAACCTTGCCACACGAACCTCCAGTTGAGTGCGTGATGTACCCAAAATCGTTTGATTCGATAGTAAGTCATGCAACGTATCAATATAAACATAAACCAATAAACTCGTACATTGTCGCATTATAAGCACAGTAAATAAACGCTTGATCGTTTAACTTAATGGCAGTGATTTTACTAGGCAGCATAATCGAATGATCAACACAGGTATAATGGAATTAAATTGGGAAAGATGTTGCGTTGGAGATGCGAAGGCGATCGAACGGCACCCCAGACAGCTATAATCATCCGGCTAGCAGATCTCCGTGAGCGGGATAGCGATTGTAAATAATTAAAAAGCGTTTAAAGCAACAGCATAGTGCAGCTGGACGGCCGATTAACCTGTTTCCTTCCATGCGAGTACAACTCAGAAGAATATAGTCGACATCGTTATGATCTGATCGAACTGCATATTTACACTGGAATGACGAAATTACGAAAAGTGTCTTGTCCCGTTGTGCCTGTCAGGAGATTCTCGCTAAAGCATCCCTTGGAGCCGGCGGCTGCCCAGCTGTCGTTCATGACCGTTCCGAACGAGTATTGTAAGGAATTATCTACCTCCCAGTCTGTGCTGAGGTTAAATGCTCCATTCGCCATTATGGGGAGGTTTGGAAACATGCTGGAGCGATTGCTGTTAAATGCCGAAAACGCTGACGATCCCGGCTTCGACCAACATCCCCACCAATCGTAATCACTTCCTGGCAGATATGTGGTGGTCAAGGCGGTGCAGCCGTTCTTAGCGGCACCCATCGTAGCATGCGCGTTGTAATGGGGAAAAAAATTTTCTTGCCCATATGCGCTAGTGGCGTTACCAAAGGAAACACAGTTTTCTGGCTTCGCCCAAGTCAGGAAGTCTGTAATAGACGTACAAGTTGTAAGTGAGCGGTTTTTTGATTCAAAATAGCACATTAAGGGAGTTTTTGAGGTTGATATTCTCCTAGGGAGCATAAACTTCAGCCCTAAATAGCCATCCAGTGGCTCTTAAGAGCGTTATAATATCAAGTTTGAGATGTACTCACCTGCCATTTGCGGCATCGTCATTCGTTGCTTGTCCACTTTGTCCTGGTGTTTAGTGCTGATGTGCGATGCCAGGTACAACGCCTGTGTATAGGCCTTTCCACAGAAATTACAAATATGCGTTTTCGTATGCTTGCTTTCCTTGTGCTTTGGGATGTGCTCTCGTAATCCGGCTTCGTCGTGGAACATTTTATAGCAACTGTAACACCGGAACGGTTTATCCGTCTCGTGACATCGGCTGTGCGATTGTAAATTCGACAGCTGAGAAAAGGCCTTTTGACATCCAGCAAAATAGCAGCGGTAAGGTTTGTCGCCGGTGTGGGTGCGGAGATGCTGTTGAAGATGGGAAAGCTGCGTGAAGCATCGCTTGCACATATCGCAGGTGTATGGTTTCAAGCCGAGATGGATGCGCATGTGCTGACTGAGATAACTGGCATTGGCGAAACACTTGGGACAGTGCAGACAACGATAGGGCTTCAACTCCCGGGCGTGGGTTTGGGTGTGCAACTGATGCTCCGCTTTCGACTCGCATATCTGTAACACGACGGATGCATCTCCATTTGTTGCATGAGATGTCCCATTTCTCATCATTTTATTTGCATAAGAAAGTGATAACATTACAATTTAATTACACGGCTACCCCGGATTGGCAACCTCTACGTAATTTTATAGTGTTTCTCTGCGATTACTTTTGGAGTAAACCTTCTAGTTAGCAAAACGCCAGACAGCCGGAGTGTTGGTGATCGGCGGGATCAATAAGTTGTTCCCAGACACGCCAAGCTCCTTTCGCAAATAAATGCTGTGTTAAGTATATCGATTTATTTCCTGCGACTGTTTAGCCGAGACAGGCAACCGAAAAAAACTGATATATAGTTATGCAAGCACGGCGCTGCGCGTGGCTGGGATGAGCCTACCGAGGATTCGCTTACTCAAGTATGAACGGATCACGTTAGTGAGATTTGCAATTAAAATTCTACCAGATTGTCAAGTTGTTCTATGTCAACACTCGACATATATTCCGGCAATGTACGCAAATTGCTCAGAGGACCTACCAGAGAACACTTCTTGCATTTTAGCTTCTGTCCAGTCGTGCCCATTAGCCTGTTGGTGGTCGGTTGAAATATTTGATTCGTGAAATCCGTTGAAGCATAGCTGGACGAAGACGTAGTATGACTGTAGCTCGGTGCCCGATCCCAAGACAAGTCTAGTCCTAACCCATGGCTAATTACATCACCCCAGGAATCCATGCGGTCGTGGAATGGACGATGGCTGGGAAAGACGGCAACCGGCTAACTTCAGGAAATGCAACTCGTAGGTCGAGCCGGTTCCGCATATACATGTGTATTAATCCGGTTAAAAATCAAAATCCTTCCACTGGGTACGATATACTAGTTCTAACGCGGAAGTAACCTTAAAGTAGCTAAGTCTCGATGAAGATAGAAAGTGCATTCAAATTCTGCTGCATCGACTACAACATATTGGTGAAAGTCTGCATAATCACATCGGAAATTGTTGCAGAAGGCTTTTGTATGTGCGACTGATTGCGCTGGTGAGTACAAGAGCTGAAGCAGATTTCAAGGCGGACGTTAGGCCGATGTTGTCTCCGTCAAAAAATGGGATAAGCGCCGGGTTATGGAATTGATCGGTGCGTTCGAGGGCGTACGGACCTGAAAAGATGCGTCGGTATTGGCTGATTCCCGCGATCCTTGAAGCTGTCTCGTTTACTTTCGCATACCGTGCGTCTGGTTTTAGGACCGATTCGAATAGATCGTGCTAACGGGAGAACAAATGTGCAAAGATTGAAGTCGGCTTACATAATAATGCTCGAAATCGGTGTTATATAAGTATCTATTAATTTCATTTCCATGACAAATCTTCCATTTGATATTAATTTAATTCTTTAATTTGACATTGAAGGGACCGCTTTGAAACAGCGCAAGGTTAATCGGATGAAAATGCTTGCAAAACGATGCAGAATGAAATGGAATATTTTTTACCGTATTAATTTTCGATTTGTTTTTAACGACGGCAAAGCCAGTCTTGCTCAAATAGAATTATATATCGCATACAGATACCTACTGTATATCTATATTGTTTACTAATTCTTCTGAATTCCTGTTTCAAATTGTCAGCCATTCGAGAAACTTTAGAATATCGCCAAGATTAACAAAGCAGAGCGCCTCTACCTCTGTTGCTTCTTATTGGAAGATCGAAAGACGTTCTTGGATCTTTCCTAATAGTTTTGAAAATACGTAAGCTCAAGCCGATAATTCAGTCGGTATCCAATCTCAGTACGGCAAATTTCCTATTATATCCTATCTGACATGTACATCGTGTCCTTTGGTAATTTGTTTAACAAATTCCATAACTACGTAACTTGTTATATGAATACTAAACATCTCTAGCAGGTCTACGGCCTCTCCTGTTAGACCGCGGTAATCTCCGCTTCTGCTCATCCGATCTTCATGCTTCAAAATGTTTTGAAAACCTCTCAGTGCGGCGGGTGATCTAAGACCAGTCGTTGTTTGCTGAATTCAGAACCGCTAATCCAGTGGTCATTCAAAGGCTTGTTGCCATGGATGCCATAGGCCTAACATAGTCTGGTCTGGTGCCACGGGCATTAAATTTGAATAAAGAAAACCTTGTGGGCTTAGTGAAGGAATCACTTCAGACACTTCACTGTCCACAGTAGCTTATTAGAATTTGGAGAGTTTAGCAGAACAAGCGTAAAATCAGCAGCCGAGCCACAAACCAATCAAACTTTAGGGGCAAAAGGTCAATACTCCAAAAACTAGGCTTTAGATGTTCTGACTTAAAAGAAAGAAGTGAAATTGCTATCTTAACCGATAATGCCAGTAATCGCTAACAAAAAAAGGCAAATCACTGACAAAAAAGGGACAAATTTTAGCGGATGCAGCCGCAAGTTGACTGCAGAGCATTCCTGTCATCCGTTAAATCTGATAAACTGAACAAGATCTGTTGTCTTTATCAAAAACCAATTGTCTTCAAACAAAATAATAACTGCTGTTGCTTCCTCGAATCGACTGCAACCTTTGAATTTTAAACTGATTATTTACCTAGTCGTAAGCCAATATTCATCCGTGCTCAGCTTGTTAACTACATCCGTAACAACCGTGACAGAGTAAGGTTAACAAACCTATGTTTGGGAGAACGAGTAGGCCGATTTCAACGCGGTCAAGTGCGCCAGAACCGCTGCAACGACGCGGTGGATGTTACGCTATTACCGAGTTGATACGCCCCTAGGGAAAAAAAGGGGACCGGAAAGGAAAGTTGTTACCATGGGCATCCATAGACATACATGGACAAGTTGTTCCCATGCGCGTAAATGACACGACACGCCTCGGCCAGCGGCCTCGATGCGAACAAAAACAAAATTAATTAATCACCAAAAGCCGACGCCGATAAATTGGTTACGGATGTAGTCCTCCGTAAACTGGTTATATGAATACTAAACATCTCTTGCAGGTGTTTGGCCTCTTCTGTTAGACCGAGGTAATCTCAGCTTCTACTCATCCAATTTGCGTACTTTAAAATGTTTTGAAAACCTCTCAGTCTGGCGGGTGATCTAAGACCAGTCTTGTTTTGCTATCATCAAATTATCAATGCCAGTGGTCACTAAAAAGCTTGTTACCATGGATGCCATAAGGCTAACATGGCTGGCCAGTTACCACATTATATACTGCATTAAAACAACAAGAAAAGCTTCGGCTTCGCCTCTGCGTTTCTTCTGTTCACGGACTGAGTGAACAGATATTTTCGCCCACTGCACTGGCAAAAGCAGCTTAATAGTTTGGCAATTTCAGAATACGGTAGATTGAGCAGAGACCTAGCAGGCGAGTCAAAATCAAAACAGAAGGGGCAAAAGGTCAACTATCCAGGGTGCTCGCCGCGGGCAACCATCCGGAACACTTGTCCGGCTTTGCCATTCTGACTTTGCGGGAAAGCGTAATATTTTAAAAATAGTCGTAAGCCAATATTCATCCGTGCTCAGCTTGTTAACCACATCCGTAACAACCGTGACGGCATAAGGTGAAAAAACCTATGTTTGGGAGAACGGATAGGCCGATTTCAACGCGGTCAAGTGCGCCAGAACCGCTGCAACGACACGGTGGATGTTACGCTATTACCGAGACGATGCGCCTCGAGGGGAAAAAAGGGCACCGGAAAGGAAAGTTGTTACTATGGGCCTCCATAGACATACATGGACAAGTTGTTCCCATGTGCGTAAATGACACGACACGCCTCGGCCACCGGCCTCGATGCGAACGAAAACATAAATTAATCAAGAAAAGCCGACGCCGATAAATTGGTTACGGATGTAGTCCTCCGTAAACTGGTTATGTGAATACTATACATCTCTTGCAGGTTTTCTGCCTCTGCTCTTTGTTCGCTATGATCTCAGCTCCCACTCATCCAATTTTCTCGCTTTAAAATGTTCTGGGAACCGCTCGGCCCGGCGGGTGATCTAAGACTAATCGTTGTTTGCTATATGCAGAACCTCAAGCCCAGTGGTCACTCGAAAGCTTGTTACCATGGAGGCCATAGGGCTAACATGGGCTGGTCTGTCACCACGGTCACATTACACTGTACTTACTCAATTAGCTCAAACATGAAACAGCTTTGGCTGCGCCTCTGCGTTTCCTATGTTCCGTGGGCTGACTGAACGACACTTCGTTGGCTACAGTTGCTATTACAGTTTTGCGAGTTTAGCAGAATGAACAGAAAAACAGCAGCCGAGCCACAAAACGACACAAACTCTGTTAACAAAGGTCAACAATCTAAGAATTGAACATTAGTAGAGACTGGATTGATAATAGACTTCGTTTGCTAAAGTAATAACCGACAATGACAGCAAGCGTCCACAGGTTGGCTAATCACTAAGCCAAACGACAAGTAAAGGAAAAATTCGGCTGATACAACCGCAAGTTGACCGCAAAGCATTCCGTGTCATTTGTTAAATGCGATAAACCGAACAAAATCTGTTTTCTTATACAAAAATCAACTGTTTTCAAACAAAAAAAAATAATTGTCACTGCTTTCTCGAATACGCTGCAACGTATGAATTTTAAACTAATTTATTTGCCCAGTCGTAAGCCAATATTCATCCGTGCTCATCTTGTTATCTACATCCGTAACATCTTATACACGAGTATGCTTTGTTCCGAATGATTGGCCGAACGGCTGGGCCAATTTTCACGCAAAAAAGTGCGTTAGAATCGTCGCAACGACGCCGGTAATGTTACGCTATTGCTTAATCGATGCGCCCCAACGGGGAAACAGAGGCCCTGAAAAACAAAATTGTTGCCATGGGCCCCCATAGACGGACGTGGGCTATTCATTTGTACAGTCGCAGCGACAGAGGCAGCCCGCGGCCTTCGGCATCGCTTCGGCAAACAAAACAATCGTGAAACCAGGGCAAAATAACAATAGTAATCAAGCTGGCGATTAGCGCAATCTGTATTTTTTGCTTTATTTCTTAGCTCTCTTAGGGTTCTTAGGTTTCTTAGATTTCTTAGGTTTCTTATGTTTCTTAGGGTTCTTAGGTTTCTTAGATTTCTTAGGTTTTCTTAGGTTGCTTATGTTTCTTACGTTTTTAAGGCTTCTTACATTTGTTAAGCTCATAAAATTTTTTGAATTCAGAAGATTCGTATGTTTCTTTAAATGAAAATTTTCGAAACTAATGTACGCCAGGACAATACGTACGGATGTAGATCCCGTAAACTGGTTATATGAATACTAACTAAGTAACAAGGGTCCTCGACACTTTGCCGTTGTACTCAATGTTCTCCCGTTCTACACATCCAATCTGCACGCTCTAAAGTTCTACAGAATCCTCTCAGTGTCGAGAGTAATCCTGCATCTTAAAATTTCTGGAAAGCCCAATCCCTACAGTCCAGTGGTCACTCAAAAGCTTGTTACCATGGTGGCCATTAACTTAACATGGGCTGTTTGTAAATTCCCAGATTGTTACTATGTGTTATTATATCGAATTGTCATTGGAAATTAGCGAACTGCGAATTAGCAAATAACAGGTTCTGCTCACGCCTGTTTATTTTGTTCGTGCCTCCTTATTGTAATAAACATCGTGCCATTATTTAATACATATGCAGTTAACCTTTTTACATGCTCGAAATCCTTAGACAGTATTCATCCGTGCTGGGCTTGTAACTACTACGTAACTAGTTCCATATACGTAGTTTGTTCCATAACTACGTACTCTGCTTTATGATTTTATGCACTTTGTCATGCTTAAAGGGCATGTTAATCCACCTAATGTTTATTAGGGAAAGAATATTCAAACTTATTAGCACCGAGGTTGCATTAAACCCGTTGTAAAAATCCAGAAACTGGGATATTGGCGAATATAAGAAATTGAATAGGTGATTCAGGTTCGTTTGACTGTTAATTACTTCGCGAGGCCACTACGTAACTGAAGGAGCGTAAATTTTCCTGGTCTCTATATATCAAGAAAATAGATCTGTATTTTGATCGGCCGCCTCGTGCAACATGGCTAGAAAAAACCGCCAAGTAAATAACAAAACCGACATTACCATTAAACTCAGCTTGTTCCAAAAGCAAAAGGGTCGCACGTGCATTTTGTTTTCAAAAATATCTGTCCCGGGACCGTCGCTCGGATGCCGGTACGGACAGATATGAGTTCAAGGTGACCTTGAAAGACCATTTACAACATATTATTGCGTGGAGTAACGAATATTCGGTTGTTTTGTACTGTAGGATTAATGCAGTAAATTTTACGTTGAATATAAAAAAAATGAATATTCTGATTATATTCAAATAGTGTAATAAGTAACAGAACTAAATTTTTTTTAATTACCTTCAAAAAAACTGTTACAATAACCTTTCAACAAAATGTTATGAAGTGAAGAAATTCATTGGGCTAGCTGCGAAATTTGGTGGCAACGAAAACCAAAACATTGCAAATATTAACTGTATACACTCCATTTCATTAATTATCTGTATTGACGAAATGATCAAAATTCGAAAAATTTTATCGTCAAGAAGCCGCCATAAAGAAAAATGTGCCGGTACATGATACCACAGTGATGTGTTTACAAGCACTGGAACTTTTGTTTTCGCGCGCTCTCATTAATTGTAAATACATAAGACTTCCAAGGGAAATAAACTGTAAAAGTCATTTTTAAAGTTGGAAAAGAACTGTGGAACCCCGATTCAGTAAAAACGACTTGGATACTCATATAGTCATATTACCTTACACGCAAGATTTCGAGAAGATGATTTGATGTACTTCTATACAAATCCTATCATGAGCTATATTCTATCATCTGATGTATACGAATTATTTTGCCCGGTAGTGGCTGGCTGCATAGCGTGCAATCGAGAACTCACGGAGTGCTCGGTGCTTATCATATGCTTCAAGTTACCGAGTGCATGATCTTGAAGTGCTGTCCTTTACAATGTTGAAGTCTGATATTATATTTAATATTAATAAACTGTATCAGTGCCAATAAAGTCCGGAAACGGTAAAGTGTTTAAATGTAGTTCATCATGCAACGGTTATAACCGACGGTAAAGGTTATTTGAAACGGTTTTTTGGCAAGGCAGATTAAGACGGTAAGGTTTTCGCGGCGGCAAAGGCAATGGTAAAGGTAATGATGGAAAAGGCAAAGTGAAAACGCAAAGGCAAAGAAAAGGCAAAGATAAACTTGGCCGACCCGCGCAAAGGGTCATCCTATCTGCTGAGTGCTGACCAAATCTATTTACTTTTACCGCAGATCGTGCCTGTTGAATGAACGGAAATCATTAATATTACTCTAGGATCAGTGATCAGGGCTGCTCAATGAACAAAAATTACCCTATTACTACCATTGTTAGGTCACTAAGGTCAGCTCTGTGAGTAGGACCACGTGAATGATGTGATGATCACTGTGGACGACTGAACGGAATAATTCAAAGATCACAGCATGCACTGAACTAGCCTACATACTGAATAACGGGAGCGATACAAACAATATTGTCTACGGTTAAAATATAATTCCACCAGTTATAAAAAATTACCGGAGCAGTTACTAGAATTATTAAGCACGTACAATGAGGACTAACTGAAGCGTCATAACTGATGAACTAGGACAATGGCGGGTTCGCGTATAGCCGTATACGGTAAATTGTGACCACATTACCTCAACACTTAATACAATATCTGTAGGATTAGATAGAATAAGTATAATAATTATATGATTAAAATATTTATCTATTAGTGTTCCACGGGAATGCTCACAAAGGCATTTTTACTTTTCACTACTCTAGTGGCCATCAGCCAATTTGCTGGGAGTTAATCCGTTAAATACATATCATCACAAAAAACAAACTCAAGCTTTAATTTTAACATTTCCACTATAGCGCCATGTAACTACATGCCAGTTGGCACTAAAATTTGGTATTTATACCAGAGTGGCCGCCGGTAGTCCAATTAAAGCATTTAATGCCAGACTGCCAGATAATTAGCGGAGATTTCATAAGTTCTGCTGGTGATCAGCAGATTTTGTTTGCATGCTCGCCAAAGAAACATATGTGTTACGACTTGCAAAACTCAAATATGTCCAATTGTATTCCGCCTGGATGGAAACCTTGCCACTGTCCCCACAGGATTTGCATAGCCAGTCGCGACGTCCGGTGTCATAACTGAAGCGCATTTCGTTTTCGTGACTTTGATTTGAAACTCTGCGTGAAACGTTCGGACATAAACAAAGAGGGTAGGTAACTGACGTTTTTCATAGATGCGTAGATACTGATAGATTATACATTCAATATGGACAATGCTTCGCCGGCGATTTCATGTTGGACTTAAATATGGCCGGTACGTAAATTTATTGACTTCGTGCGCCGAAGCAGTGCCGTTTACAGCAGACAGCAGTGGACAATGAACAAAGATTACACAACGAGTTGTACGATGGAAAACAGAAATATCGCATGCGAACCAATTAGGTTCCTTACAGGTTGAATGTTATAAAGAAGTGTATTTAATAAAGAAGTGCATTTTAAGAGAGGTTCTACCGCAATTGCGGCGCTGCAGCCGCGGAACACCCGTGTGGTATCACTGCACCGACCACATCGCCAAAAGGCAAATGCCCAACTGCCACGTGTACGCCAAAGTGCCGAACACAAACATGCGCTGCGTGGCTAGTGAAAACAGTAAATTTTAACACGTAGCATTACTTATTCGATTTTGACCGCACATCCAAAGCGAACTGGTACAGCTAACCATAAGTTTCTAGTGAACGGGAAACGAGGTTCCCATCGACCAGCTGTACGAGATGAAAGCTAAAGCATGAATCTGCGTATAAGACTTGTGTCTTGGTTTTGCTTTTATCATTGATTCAGGTGAATAAACCTGAATAAAGCCACATGCCATTTAATCGATTTAGACTTTTATCCGTTTTATGGCACTTTGGGCGTTCATGATTTTAGTCCATTACTGCCAAATTTTCCGCAATTAGGATCCGAGGAAAACGAATGTCAACATAGTAGGTCCACTCGCACGCCACTGTGGAACCCCTGTTCAAAAGGCGAGCAAGTCAAAAGGTACGGTTGGGCTTGATGCAGCGAGGTCTGTGATTTTTTTGCCTCACCAAATTTTTTTTGCCTTTTTTTGGTCAGTGTCGAAGTTTCACACTGCAGTTACAGTGCAGTACTTGGGCACAGCGTGTCGGCCGTCGGCTGAACTGGTTTCCATTTCAAACCGTGAGTAATATTTTAACAAGACAGCTTCGGCACTCAAGCGGTGGTTAGATAATACTGTACATCTGGCTTTATTTTTGGAAAGTTCTTAACTTTACAAGTACTTGTATATCAAGGTAAAGATCTATAAATTACAACGGAAAACCCCGTACGATCTGGTCAGAACAAACCAAAAAATTAATCGAAAAACAGCTAACGCCATTCGATTCAGCATGTCTGGAAACCGTGTCACATGCATTTTGTTTTGACGTCTGTGTACGGGAGCCGGACAATTATCCGATCGGACAATTATCCGATCCGGCTCCCGTGCACAGACGCCGGTGCCGGTAGAGCTGAAAGCTCAAAGTGACCTTGAAAATAATTTTAAAGTCCGGTTGCATGGAGCAAATTTAAAGAGGTACCTTTTTAGATCAACAAATTAAAAAGGTTTAAAGTTTTGCACCTACAGCCAATTAGCAGTAACTCAAACGATGCTGCTAGCGGATGGCTTCGTTTCTATAAATCGCTAACAATTTAAAAGCGCTCAAAAACATGACTTAAGAATAAGAACGCTCGTTAAAAGCTATTTGAAGGCAGCTGTAAAAGAAACTGACCATAGTAATCGTTCAAACGGCCTGACCTTCCATTGCAGTCCGAGCAAAACTAAGGACAGTAATCAACTAATCAGCATAATTATACAATCCTTAAATTATTCCGTATAATACGGAATAATAAAACGGTATCTACAATTTAGATCTTTATTACCACGAAAAAGAAAAAGGGAACACACGAACCCAGCTTTTCCGTGTATAATCAGCAAAAACCATTTCCATAATCTGAAGGCCGATATTCCCAAACCCGGCCAGATGATTCACAAAGCCTGCTAGGAGAGCGAGTAATTAAACTACCGCTGCTGTCCACAGCACAGAGCCCGCTAGGTAAACGAGTGACCGAAGTACCACTACTATCCAGAGCACAAAGCCCGCTAGATGAACGAGTGACCGAAGTACCACTACTATCCAGAGCACACAGCCCGCTAGGTGAACAAGTGACCGAAGTACCACTACTATCCAGAGCACAGAGCCCGCTAGGTGAGCAAGTGACCGAACTTCTGTTACTGTCCAGCACACGAAGCCCACTAGGTGATTGACCGAAAAAATACCAGCATCTATTGCAAGCATTCTTATTTTGAAATTAAGTACCTGGTGGACTCAGAGTCGGGAGAGAAAAATTAATAAAAATCCCCTTCTGAATGAAAGTGAATGCGTCTGGGTGCACAAAAGCCATAAATTCAGTTTTCGTCCTATCTGCGTTTTAGCGCTGTTTTCGGACCATTTTTTATCTTCTTTCACAAACTCTTTCAACTTTTCTCTTCCATGTATTTACTAATACTATTTATCGACCAGTCATTAGAAAATTTAATTTAGGTTCTGTTCCATAAGGTAGATGAGATTCACCGAAAAGACTGTTGTACAGTTTCTGGTAGCCTCTCCTGTGGTCTTCTCGCAGCATTATTGTGTTGCTGCCAATCTCCCCGATCATATTTCGAGAACCGCAAACCGATTTTATGTTTCAAATTCTTTCCTCTTGCATCAAAAATAAAGAAAGGATAAATCAAATCTCTAACGGTTTTTGAAAAAAATTTGGAAACTGGTCTCGACCGAATGTCAAAACCCCGTAGAAAGGCTAAAAATGTGGATGATTCGTAAAAAATATTTGTTGTCCACAGTCTGGTGAAAGTTTAACCCTGGACTAAGGTGCACTGGAGTCATCCAGAAATACATTTGTTATTTATGAAAAGAATCGGAAGTTTGAAGAGACAAGAAAGTTGAAAACGACGAAAATTTGCGTCGTAGCAAAAAAATTAATAATTTTTTTCAGTGAAGGTTTCGAAACAATTTCACATCCGGATAAAAGCAAGGATAGTATTACCTATCAATATCTCAAACCATAGTCAAAACTGTTGAGGAAGACAGAAGTGGCAATAAAAGAAGTTTAAAGAACTAATTTTTTGGGGATTACGCTGGTGAAGCTGCTCGAACTAGCACCGGTTAGACGATTTTTCGTCTGAACGGTTTTTCGTCGACAGTTGAAATTCTTTTTTTTTCTCGATAGCTTAGAGAATAAGGTATGTGACAAAAAATATCTCGTTGATGTTTCACTTCAAATTGAAACCTGGCAAAATAGGGAAACTTACTTTTGGTATGTCCTTTGTAGTTCGGGTCAAAGGTTTTCGTTTTTCGTAAATTTCATTTATAAATTTATGAAACTTTTTCGAAACGGATTTTGCCTGTTGGCTGTGTCAGTAAGTTCCAGTGGCGTATAGGCGGAAACAAATATTATTATTGCGAAATGCACTTAGTAACACCGCAACAGTGGATGGGCGGAAACAATTATTATAAATACAAGCCCAACCTCGGCCTCCGGCCTCGGTCGGGAAAATGTAGAAATGAATTTGGATTATTGGTTTATTATTATAATTGTTACTAATGATTGTATAATTATTAATTAGCAAACTTTACGGTAATATGATGAACTACTACCTCTCAGTCTAATCGGCGAAACTTGCCCCTTTGTTTGACCGGCGAAAATCCTTACTCTTGTGTCTGACCGGCGAAAACTCCTACCCTCTGTCTAACCGTCGAAAATCTCTGTCCTTTGTCTAACCGGCGGAAATTCATACCCTCTGTCTATCCGGCGAAAATCCTACCCATGTCTCCGACCGGCGAAAACTCCTACCCTCTGTCTAACCGGCGAAAATCCCTGTCCTTTGTCTAACCGGCGGAAATTCCTACCTCTGTCGATCCGGCGAAAATCCTTACCTTGTGTGACCGGCAAAACCCCTACCTCTGTTTTACCGGGGAAAACTCTACCCATCTGTCTAACCGGCGAAAATCCCTGCCCTGTGCTTGACCGGCGAAAATCCCTACGCTCTGTCTAACCGGCGAAAATCCCTGCCCGTGCTTACCGTCGAAAATCCCTCCCTTTTCTAGCCGGCGAAAATCCTTAACTCTGTTCAACCGGCCAAAATTCTGTGCTGCTGTGTCCGCATGCTACAATTTCCTTGCCGAATTGATTTTATTTTACAAACCACTACTCGTAGAATGCCGAAATTCCCGTTTGAAACATCAGTTATTGCTGCTCGGTCTGCATGCTAAACTTTCTTGCCGAATTGACTTTATTTTAAAAGCCATCAGAATGCCGAAATTTCCGTCTGAAACAATGAGTAAGTGCGTCCACTTGCTAAAATGTTTTTAATTTGGCATGTATTTTGCATTTGGTGATCACGCGTGCTAACTGAGCAATCGGTTTTCGAGGCAATTATTATAAATACTGATTTTCATTATTATCAGTATTATTATTCATTGTTATTATAGTTTGTTTATTTCAAATAGTAGATATATATTTTTCCTTATTAATTCTAAGTATTACTTTTTTGTTTTCAATACTGAGTACAGAGCTTTGTTTTGTATTAAAGGAAAAACATTTCTGCTAAAAGAATTAGTTAATAAAATTATCGATAGAACTATTATCTAGTTTACGCCTTTACGGAATCATATAAGCAACAACGGTATAACGAAAGTCCAGCCTGATGCCGCGAGTGAATGTCCGCATAATGAAATTTATTACATGTGCTGAAATGACTTCATGGAGAAATGGAAGAGCACCGAAACACCACTCTTCGATTAATTAGTAGAGTGCCAGCGCTTGCAATTTTTTGTTATTTTATTTTGATGGCTATTGCATATAAAACCACATATCAAATAACCTAAGCATTTTTGTGCAAAACTCTGTTTCCGGCTTCGCTTCAGTCTAATAGTGCTAGCAAAAAGCGGTGCACTTCCCTAGTAGTTTATACGTACGTAATCCGTTGCCGTACAGTTATTTGCGCTATACTGGTTCCCTTTCCTCTTTCCGCCAAAGAAATCATACTGCATTATCGCTCTGCCAATTACGAAATTTCGACAAACAGGAGTATTAAATTTTACTGATTACTGATGTACCGCAGTTTTTATGTCCCAGTTTGCCACGCTGTGTCAGCAGTTTCCGTTCAAAAATATACGCATTTCCGCCAATCCACATTATCCACTAATAAATACTTTGTGATTGCCAATCAGCGAAATTCGTTTTGGCCATGTTTCGTAATTCGAAGGAAAAGAAGATCGAAAAACTAAAGTTGTAGGGACAAACTACAGGATTTTAGCCGTTTTTTAAGCTATCGAACGAAATTCTGCGCCGGACAGTGTTGGAGGAAAAGGGAGAAAAAGAAACGGCGGAGTTAGGATTGTATATATAATAGGGGAATAAATTTTGCTGGTTAGACAAAAGACTAGAGATTTTCGCCAGTTAGACAGAGGGAAAGGAATTTTTGCCGATCAGACGAAGTGGAGGGGGATTTCGCTGGTTAGACACTGGGGGTGGAACTTTTGCCAGTCAGACAAAGGATGAGGGATTTTCGCCGGATAAACAACGGGGAGGGGAAGTTCAGGCTTAGACAGAAGGTATTATGTGAGCGGCATGTTATTTAATTAGCGGAAAGAAGGAAAGGATAACTGTACCTTAACAGAAAAGGTACATACAAAGACTAACATAAGTACGTATTATTAAAAAGAAGGGAATACGATGAGCACAATCAATGTCCCTGCAATGTGCAAATTCCCGACTGGAAGATAAAATTTTCGATGGTATTTTTGCCCGTGAGACAGAGGGGAAAGGAATTTCGCCGGTCAGATGGAAGTACAGGGATTTTCGCCGGTCAGATAAAAGTACAAAGATTTTTGCCGGTCAGACAGAAATACTGGGAACGTCGCCGGTCAGATAGGAGTAAAGGGAATTTCGGCGGTCAGATAAAAGAACAGGGATTTTCGCCGGTCAGATAAAAGGACAGGGATTTTCGCCGGTCAGATAGAAGTACAAGGATTCTCGCCGGTCAGATAAAAGGACAGGGATTTTCGCCGGTCAGATAAAAGGACAGAGATTTCCGCCGGTCAGATAGAAGTACAGCGATTTTCGCCGGTTAGAAC